GACTAAAGTACTTGGCCGCGTATCATCCAAACTTTGGGCCAAACCGATAGCATCACGCAACTCCGGATAGAGACACCTTTCGGCTTCTGCAGGTATGGTCAGTCTTCCATATTTGGATTTCAACCTCCGTGGCAAGCATGTCACAGCGACCACCATCGGTCTGCTGTTTCAGAACGACTCTTGCCCAAACTGAAGGAGCTGCACCAAGCTCTAGAAGACGTGGTTGCACGTTCTCATTTAAATGACTGCGGGGCGTATGCATGTGAGCGTTTCGTTGTTGAGACTCCGAGATGCTCCGAGTTGTGTGAAACTCTGGTGTCGACATACTTGTGCTCGGGGGTGTCATTATCAGGAAGGGCCAGTCTTCGAAAGGGAACCTTCGAACGGTGCATCTTTTGCCTTTTGCGTTACATGCAAGGGATATGGCAGGCTGGAAAATGGCATGGTCGGATGCCTGAAGACTTCAGATCCAAAACAGTTTTGCATAGTTTGGAACACCTTGAACTGGCTTTGAGCGACATTGGACGGTGTCACAACTTGGCAAGACATACGCAAACCAGTTATAAGTGTCATCCGAAGCGTCAGGAGGTATATATAGTCTGTAGCTTACAGATGAGTACCGTCCAAGGAATTCCGCACGAAGTCCTCAAAAACATCAAAACCAAGAATCGCAAAACTCGAACAATACAAGACATAGTATTGCACAAGGAGGTCCCTAACCTTCAAGATATCGCTGAATAGTAGGAAACCTATACCAAAGACACGAATCACATAATTAAAAACGTTTGAATGCACAATCGAAAGTATCAGACGTCTCAAGGATCTTAGAGGCTTAGACCCTAAGGTCAAGGACCCTTTTGGAACGGAACATGTTCATGCCAGTCTCTCAAGTTGGGACAGTAAACGATACGTTCTTAGTCTCGGAAAAGCGGGTGGGAGGAAACCTCAAGTCCGAAACCCCAACCAGTCTTTGATTTGAGGACCGAAAAAACCATACGACGACCACGACGACTACGACGGCTAGTAGTAGTAGTAGTAGTAGTAGTAGTAGTACTACTACTACTACTACTACTACTACTACTACTACGGGACATGTCAGCCGGACAGAGACTAACCACACAAACGCACAGCAATGCAAGAGCACTTCTTCTCTTCGCGAATGAGAATACAACTGCAGCAAATCATATGCTGTAGCAGATACAGACATTGGCATATACTTCTGCCAGAGTCGCAAACCGCTTCGCATGTTTTAGCTCTTGTTGTCATGGATTGGATGCACATTGTACGCCATTATACAGATCCTACATGATCCTACCTCGACCACACTCTTTCGAGGGTGACGCTGTCCTCCGACAACACCCAGAGCGCGTCGTCGGGCGGGCTGGGTGGGACATGCGAGCATGATCGAGCATGCAAGTGGCGCGCAAAACTGCACTGCTTCCCCACAGGAGCCAACGAGTCACGAGTTGCTTGCGGGCGTGTCACCTACGGGGAGCATCTGCTCTGTTGTTCTAATTGCCGGCAGGCTCAGGGGGTGGTCCACACAGGAAGGTGCCACATGGTGCCACAGCAACAATCCACCGGCCATGCACCCAGTAGCTGGGCCGCACATGCCGCCCCTCGGTGGCGATGCTGGCGGCGTGGGACGGTGTTGGCTCTGATGGAGCCAATGGGGGCATCCTTCCTGCGGCTTGCAGCTCGGCCAAACTCCGTGGCCGCCATGTCTACTGCTGCTGTACCGGATCTGTCTGGGGCCGGAAATACTGCAGATGACTCAGAGATGATGGCAAAGACGGTGGCTGAAGCGACACGGCCCGCAAAGCATTATGTTACAGCTTTACGGACCAATTTTCCATGGCGGCGATATGAGTGTATAGTTTTGTCAGGGAGCCATAAAACATGGCGCGATGCACATTCGCCGGGCACATATCGCGAGTGAGTGACGTCGTACTACTACTGTACAACTAAACTACTAAGTACTACTGGCTACCACTACTACGACTACTACTACTACTACTACTACTACTACCACTACTTCCACTACCACTACTACTACTACTACTACTACTACTACTACTACTACTACTACTCCTAGTACTACTCCTAGTAGTACTACTACTACTACTACGACGACTACTACTACTACTACTACTACTACTACTAGTACTACTAGTAGTACTACTACTAACTACTACTGCAACTACTACTACTACTACTACTACTACTACTGCTACTGCTACTGCTACTGCTACTGCTACTCCTACTACTACTACTACTACTACTACTACTACTACTACTATATGCGAATCGCACGACGCTCCGCACGTTGTCATTCCCCCTACCCCTCCAACACCCGTCTTCACGATCAACCTCATCGTCGTCATGAGTAGCATCGTCATCATTCTGCACTACACGGAGTCACCACATCCCCAACATCCCACTTGCATCCCTGCAGTCTCGCCGCTCGTGCCTGATGCTAAAATACGAAAGCACGACAGGTCGTGAACGGCAATTCATCCCAGCTCCATCCCTTGAAACAAAATTTTTGAAACCAAGACGATCGGGAGGCCTTTCACCATGAACCATGACAACGGCGTGAATAAACTCCATGAAGTGCGTGCAAATCCTGCAGGTTTTGGTGTTATCACTAGACCCTCATTCTACATTCTGGCAAACGTTCTCGAACAATCTCCTGTTCATGTCCATGATGGGATGCAGGAGGCTGTAGTAATTAGAGGACCTGAACCACTCGTGAGACGTCTGACCTGCCAACGTGAGGTTGGTACCGCGGTGGTGCCGGCGACTCTTGCGTCGAGTTAGAAAACAGGCACAAGGCCAATCCACTGATAGGAAGCCCCGCCTTGGAACCCTTTGGCTACGAGGATGTCCTGCAACAGGTTCAGTTAAAGGAATTGGAAAACCGATGTCTGGCTTGACCCGTCCTTCCACAAATTGAAATTTTCTCTTGTGTGTGAGAAGGACTCATGCAGCTTTTGTGCAACCTGGACACCGGGCAGCTTTGTGACAGCACCACCGGAAGCCAAATCGGATCGCAGATCATAGGGCCCGATCCCAATCCAGCACAACCAGAACTTTCCTGGACGTCAGGTCTTCACCCAAGGCAGCAAATGCTAACTGCTAACAAGCACGGCTGGGAGTACAAGCACGGAAGTTGCTGATCTGCCAGCATCGCAAACGAGCCCGAAGACCTCGATTGACACGAAATCCGAATACATCTCTCGGTCTCTTTCGTAGCTTATTCAGGCAAAGCAATCGCGCACGAGACAAAGACCAAAAGCACGGGTTCCGCTAGGCACAACACCTGTATACAAAGACTGTTCGACAAAACATTGCATGGAACCGACCCACAAATTCCGTGGAATAGCTCATACGTTGCCTAGTCCTCGGTTCCTTGGTCGCTTGCCTGCGAACAGTTTGCTGAGCGCACAACTCAGATCAACGCGGATCAGCCTACCTACTACTTACCACTAGTTTCTGCCGCTGGTATCACCACCACTACCAGTACCACTACCTTAACACTGCTGCTACTAGTACAACGACGAAGAAAACGACGACACTACTACTAGCACTACTGCTACTACTACTACTACTACTACTACTACTACTGCTACAGCCCCTACTGCTGCCGCCTCTGCTGCTACTTCTGCTTCTACTGCTACTGCTGCTGCCACTACTGTTACTCCTACTACTGCTACAGCTGCTGCTGCTGCTGCTGCCAGTGCTAGTGCTACTGCTCCTGCTGGTGCGAGTCCAAGTGCTACGGCTATTACCACTGCTGTTGCTGGTTACTGCTGCCACTGCTCCTGCTACTGTACATTTTCATAGGGCTTTGATAAGATCTTGGGGCGCAGCAGCCAGTCTCCAACCAGTGGCGATGCTGCATTTCGGAAAACGTCCTAGTGGTCACGGTCTGCATCACAAGAATAGGACAGCAGGTCAGACCGCCGTCCTCCAGCTCAGCTGGCCGTCGGGTTCCCAAATCTCCAAGGCCAGAAGCCCACCCAACCAGACACAGAGCTCCTAGTGCACAACACAGACACACGCGCGCACACACTTACTTCCCGACTTGCGCATTCATCCGCAGCCGTCACGGATATCAAAGATATCTGAGGATATCTGTATAAAGCCGAGCTCTATGTGAGATCTCTCTGTCCAAGATCACATGCAGCTCGATTCGGCTTGCCAGGCTTGTGGCTTATCCTGATTGCCGTCATACTTATTTGCAGGTACACAGTGATCAGTCCTTCACCCCGCAATGACCACTGCACATTGAAAAGTCCAGACCCTCCTCTTAATTCAAACCTTTGGTAACAAGGTGCGACGCACACACACACACAAGCGCACACACGGAACATAAACGAGAAACAACAACATCCGCCCCTGCTGAAGCGAATGTATGCGCTCCTGCTAAACGGGCATGGCCTGCCATGTCCAAGGCCCTTAGTGCAGGGCTGTCACGTCGTTATGCGGCATCCCTTAACTCAGGGCAAAAGAGATTGCATGCCGACGGGCCGGGGGACCGCCGGGGCCGAACATACTGCAGTCTCGCTGCAGTCGGCACTAGGCTATCATCGTTTGTTCTTGGCCTGTCGAAGTGGTTTGTAGCCTTGTGAAAGCAGAGCAAACCATATTTCACATGCTTAGGAGTTGCTACAATCCTTAAATGTCGCTACTTTGCAACTGCGATTTTTCGCAGCAAGCGGACCGCTTACCGACATGTTGCAGCCGTGATGCATTTAGTCTCTGCCTTCTTCTGAAATCCGCATGCTGTAGCGGCCTGTTGTTCTGCGAGCCACAGGTGTTGTGATGCCGAGGCCGGCGTCAAGCAGTGAGTATCACGACAAGCAGAGCTTTCACCGCGTGAACGACGCTTTAAGTGGGTCTCGGCACAAAGCTAGCGCAACAGTGTTCTCTGACGGAGCCTGGCCCGAGCGATTGCCAAGGACGTCTGTTGAGTCACCGCACAAGGTGGGCAATTCTTATGGAGCTGCTGAAGCTGTTGAGCCGGCTTGCGGCATTGTCCCCAAACAATCTTCTTCGTCCGACATGTCAGACAAGCCAGCGCAGTCGTAATCTGGAGGGGTAGAGCCGCGCTTCTTGTGCTCCTCCTCTCTGCGAGCCATCTCAACCATGCGGCGGGTGTCCCGCCAGTCGTCAAAGTCGACACATAGCTTGACTTTGGGAAACAAGCGCTGAAATTGGCAGAAGCATGCCATGCAGGAGATGCAAGGTGTGTGCGATGCATATAATCGGACAGTGCCGGTGACTTCTGCACACTCCGCCTCAAATTCGGCATCAGTCTTTGCACCAGATGCCTCTTGCACACGGGCAATGACTTTGATCAGCGCTTGCCTCTCGGCATGGTTTGACCGATCATGCTGCGCAAAAACCGGGAGAACGTAGGAGCCAGGAGACCGCAGCTTTGGTCTTTTAGGATCCCTGCGCGGGGTTGGGCTTTCCCGCCGGTCACGCTCCTTCGGACGCCTCTCTTCTCGAGAAGCTTCAGCTTCTGCAGCTTCCTTGCCCGATTGGGCCTGGGCCGCGGCCTGGGCCTTCGGGGCCTTCTGGGCCTGGGCTTCTCCTCCGCCGGTCTGAGGCTTAGGAGGTGCTTTGGCATCTTGCTGCTTAGGGCTTTCAGAAGGCTCAGCCTTTCGCTGCGGGGCAGCCTGGGCTGGGCTCTCCTTTTCAATCGTTTTCTCTGGTAACGGAGCCTCTGCACTTGGTGTCGAATGCGCATCGCGCAATCGCTTCTGCCGCTCCTCTTCGAGACGCCGCTCCTCCTGCCTACGCTTGTCCTGCTCCCGCAGCTCGCGCAATTGCTGCTTCCGCTGCCAAACATTGTCAGGGGAGGGCATGGATCGGCTGCTTGGCTCCGGGGGTGGGGCGCGCTCCAATCCGCGTGACTGCGCCTCCAAATCCATCTTAAGACGGAAGTCCGGCTCAAAGCTCCTTTGTTTCATCATGTCCATAATCTCAAGCCCATGCTTCCACTGTTTGCCTTGGCGACATGCTGACAAAGCATAGTTGTGGCCAACAGAGCTGGCAAAAAGCCCCTGCTCACCGATCTCTATAAACAGAGACAGAGATCTCTGCCACTCGTGGGCTTCTTCACATGCAGCTGCCACATGCTCGAAACTTTGGGCATCAGCTTCAACGCCAGCAGCTGGCATGAGAGTCCGCAGGATGTGGAGCGACTCCTGCCATTCCTTCGGTTTGCATGCGCCTGATCAGGATCTCAGAAACATTCGGCCCTTGCACGCCGCTCGCAACTTCCCACTGTCAGGCCTGCGCAATGATTGTAGCCTGTCTGGGGCAACAACTCTAGTTGCGCAGCGTGAGGACGAAATAGATACCGATAACGGCATTGGCTTGCGCATATGCAACCAAGACAGTCATCATCAAAGAAGCCCCCAATCAATGCCAATATCTTGAATATCTTGAACTGTAAAACCCAGCTCTAAAGCCTTACCGTAAGCCCTAAGCCCACATATTCTGCCGTGATCAACATCACCGCTACCACTACTATTCCGGCGACCCTTACCAGTACCACTGTGTCATCACCAGCACTACTATTGAGTAGAACTGGTAGATAGTAACTAGTTATTTGGTACTAGTACCACCAGCACCAGGATTCCCAGTACCGGCAATGACGACAACCACAACCAGCGACTGTTACAGAAACACCACCAACAACAACAGCAGCAAACGGCAACCGCAACCGCAACAGCATAAGTACCATCAACACCAACCGCAACAGTAACAGCAACAACAATGGCAACAACAACAAACAACGCAAACATCAATGCCGCCACCATCAGCACAAAATTACAATCTGCAACCAACAACCGCAACCACAAACCACAGCAACACCAAGAAGCAAAACAACAGCACCAAAACCAACACCAACAGCAGCAGCAACAACAACTGCTACTACAACTGCTGCTACTACTGGCCAACCCATCATCATCATCATCATCACCCCCGCCCGCAACCTATCATCATCATCGTTGGTACTGGACTACAACATCACGAAAGTACTGTAAATACTGAGTCAAATAGATGTACTCTTAGAAAGCACGTCATCATGCCCCCCCCCAACCCCCCACCCCGCAAACCATCACCACCATCACCAACATCACCATCGTTGGTATTGGACTACAACATCACAGATGCACTGTAACACCAACACCAACACCAAGACCAAGAACAACAACACCGAGACCGACATCAACACAGAGACCGACACCACCACCACCACCACCACCACCGCCACCACCAACCCCAACCCCAACTCCAACCCCAACTCCAACACCAGCAGCAGCAACAACACCAACACCACCACCAACAACAACAGCAACCACATCAACAACCACAACCACCATCACAACAACAACTACAACCACAACCTTAACCGCACCCGCAACAACCACAACCACCACCACCACCACCACTGCCACTGCGACCAACGCCACCACGCCGACGACAGCACCACAACAACAACAACAGCAACTGCAACAACAAAAACAAATAAATGAATAAATAGGTAAACAAACCAACAAGCAAGCAAACAAATAAGAACGGCAGCAACAACAGCAAGGAACAGAAGTAGCAGTAGCAGTACTAGCAGTAGCACTAGTAGTTGTTGTAGTAGTAGAAGCAGCAACAGCAGCAGCAGCAGGAACGGTAGAAGCACCAGTTCTAAAAGTACTAGTTACTAGTCGTCGTCGAAGTAGTCGTAGTGGTTGTTGTTGCTGCTGTGGTAGTAGTCGTCGTCGCAGTAGTAGTAGTAGTAGTAGTAGTAGTAGTAGTAGTGGTAGTAGTGGTTGTAGTAGT